CATCAAGAGAGGCAACGTCGCTTCTGATGCTAAGAACGACCCCGCTAAGCCCGCTGGTGCTTTCGAGGCTCAGGTTATCATTATGAACCACCCTGGTGAGATCAAGGCGGGATACACTCCCGTGTTGGATTGCCACACTGCCCACATTGCTTGCAAGTTCGAGAAGTTGATGGCTAAGATGGACAAGAGAACCAACAAGGTCACTGATGATGCCCCCACTGTTGTGAAGAACGGTGACTCAGCCATCGTCAGACTTGTGCCCACCAAGCCGATGTGCTGTGAAGCTTTCTTGGAGTACCCTCCCCTTGGTCGTTTCGCCGTCCGTGACATGAGATCCACTGTCGCTGTTGGTGTCGTCAAAAAGGTTGAAAAGAAGGACTACGCCACCAAGAAGACCGCCGCTAAGAAGTAGATAATTTGCTATTGTTTTTGACCTATGAGCGGACAATTAATATTGATGCAGTATTATGTTTATTTGGGCACAGTTAAATGAACCAGGATTTAAATGTACACTCAGTTGCCTTTAGTTGAATAGTCATTCATAACACACATAACACATTGTTCATTCATGTGTTATGCATCCGGGGCCTCGTTTAATGTGATTCTGCGAATCCTTGGTAGTACTGTAGCAAGTTGGAGGTGGTTCGAGGTTTGGTGGTCTCTAGCACCTGTTTCACGTCGGCCAGAGTGAGCTGGATAGACTGTTGGTTGTGAAGAATGGCGTATCTAGCGACGTTCATTCGCGCAGAGGTGCACATCGCTTCAATCTCGGCGCCGCTAAAGCCGCCACTATGTCGGGCTAGTTCTTTGAAGTCTTCGGGCTCGCTGAACTTGCCGTGGCCGGAAAGGTAGATGGTCCAAATCCTTTCGCGGGCAATTTCGTCGGGAAGCGAGACGTAAACGAGCTTGTCGAATCGGCCGGGACGCAGCAAAGCCGCGTCGAGAGCATCCGGCCGGTTCGTTGCGCCAAGAACCACGACCTCGGCGGCGGCACCAATGCCGTCCATTTCGTTGAGGATCTGGCTCAGTACTTTGGCTTCGACCCCGCTGCCGCTGTCCGCCGACTGACTTCGGTCAATGCCCAACGAGTCTATTTCATCAAAGAAGATTACGGTTGGAGCATATTGGCGGGCTTTTCGAAATATATCGCGCACGCGCTCTTCGCTTTCACCAACCCACTTGGAAAAAATCTCAGGACCTTTCACGGATATGAAATTCATGTGGCTCTGGGTGGCAACCGCCTTGGCTAGCACGGTCTTGCTGTTCCCAGGAGGCCCGTACAACAAAATTCCTTTCGGCGCTTTTAAACCAAGTTTGTCGAACACGTGTTTGTAGCGCAACGGCCACTCAACACTTTCCTTCAACAGCTGCTTGACGTCTTCATACCCACCAATGTCTTCCCACTGAACATGCGGAATCTCTATGGAAAGCTCCTTGAGTGCGGACGGACGAACTTGCTTCGTAGCTCCGTCCAATATCTCATACGTTACAATGGCGCCATCCGATCCGACATCCGAAAATAATGCCTCCTCCGCTGCAACTCGGACCCAGTTATCGATGTCACTTGGCACGAATCCACTAGCCTTTAGGCAAAGTTGACGTAGCCTTTCATCACTCCACTCCTTGTCCTGATCTTGGCCCGCAAAATCTTCGCTCCCAGGCTGCAACTTTTTGCTTGGGGATATGCAGTTATAGCGAATCAATGTGTTTTTAAGTATTTCAATCCGGTCGTCTAACGATGGTACAGTTAGCTCCACTTCTCTGTCGATACGTCCAGGTCTTCGAAGCGCCTCATCCAGAGCATTGGGTCTGTTGGTCGTGGCCAGAGCAAAGGTGCTCCAACTGCTTAGAGGTCCATCCAGGTAAGTAAGCATAGTGTTTACAATGCCAATTTGTGCTTCTCCCGATGGTTCCTGCCGTTTGGGACACAGGGCGTCAATTTCGTCGAAAATTAACAAAGTCAACTTTTTCTCGTTTAGAAACCTTCCGCTACAAGCCTCGAAAATATTTCGCAAGTCAGCTGCCTCTCTGATCTGGGAGGCGGTGACCATGATCACCTCGACACCCTGAAACCCCTGAGGTCGAATAAGTTTCTGCGACCACCTCATTCTAAGCTCCTCCTGGATAGCTCTACAAAAGTATGACTTACCTGTCCCAGGAACACCATACAGCAAGATGCCCTTCGTCGGCCGAATTCCCCTCAAGCCCCCGCGCTCATCAATAAACTTCTCCGGTTCTACCAATGGTCGTATCAGCACCTTCTCCAACATCTCAATTAATTTCTTCATCCCTCCAATCCGGCCAAAACCAACCTTTCTGATGTCCGCCAACTGGGAGCTATCCACTAGCCTAGAGCCAATCAGGGTAGAGGGAGGTACGTTTTCCTCCAGCTGCAAATGGAAGACATCACTCAATCCGATGTATCCTATTTCCGGCGTGACTGAAGGCCCCGAGGTAACTGAAGGGCTAAGAGAGCTTTCTGGTAAGTTCCCTGATAAAATCTCGTTGGCCATATATATGTCCTTGACCCGGTACCTGGACACGGAGCCACTGGCAATAACTCGTCCCTCTAGTCCTGGATAGACGCAGCTGCCTCTTAAAATGCTTCTTAAAACGGGTATAGCTGCCGCACTCCACGACTTAGCATTATCCGTAGTTCCATTCCTATGGGTCGTGTCTTCTGAGGCTTGGTTGATGAACGTTAGCACAATCCTTCCCACCGGTGGACAGCTCCTTTCTGCCGCATGGATGACTCTCCTCACCACCCACGAACTTTGTTGTTGTAGACTTCGATGCCACAAGTACTGAGATACTCCAAAGGAAGAACAGGGCGGAACCTTCTGGTTACAGCCACAGACTCGCTTCAGCCCAGCCACCCATTGGATGCGACCATCTTCCTGATTCTCTAGCAGTAAGGCTACGATGTTGCCGAATTCCTCCTTTGCGTTTTTGACGAACCTTCGAGGCACGTAAATAAGAGCCGTGGCAAAAGCGTCCAAAGTCCGCGGTACTGACGGATGTAGAAAGACAGTGCCTCCGGTGCCTCCTTCTACTGATTCAATCCCAAGGTCATCGATCAAATCCAAGCAGGATCTGGGTGCTTTCGAGCCCTCAAGTATATCATCCTTCTCCCTTACACCGAGATCCTTCTCCTTTATACCCAGACCCTTCTCCTTTACACCTCGGTCCTTTTGCTTTACACCTCGGTCCTTTTGCTTTAAAACTAGATCTTGCCCGATGCCTGCCACGTCTGTCCTCTTTGAATGAGAGCCTCTTTTCTTTCCACCCGTCTTCCCACTTACCGTTTCAGAACTTGCGAGTAAAGAAACTGCCGGGGGTACTGGAGCATCTTGACGAAGCTTGGCGAACAACCCTTGCGGACCCGACCCTTCTTCAGGTCCGGGGTTATCAGCAGCGGCCGTTAGTTTGTTGCCATCAAACACACTTTTATTAGGTCGCATTCGCGGCTTAATAAAAATGGACCTGCTCGCTGACTACGCTGACAGTGACAGTAGTGGAGGAGGGGCTCAAGAAACTGAGCTGGGAACTGGGGTTAAACACACCCACACCAATGAACAGCTAGGATGTTCCAGACAGAGTGAAATGAGTATCGACGGACTACCCCTTGGTGATAATAAACTGCATCATGATATGCAAAACGACCCAGATCCAAAGTCAGGCCACGTTAATGGACTTCGCTGTGTGCTCGATCCTGTGGCTGATGGAGATCCGGCGGGGGTCATGGCTCAGAATACGAATTTACTGATTCGTATGCTGAAGACATCAGGAACTATTGGAGGTCATCGAGTTGAGCACCATGACTTGGACGAAGACCTACTGCGACAGGCTGTGAACGACGTCTCGGCCCGTTGGAAAAGACCTTAGATGTGAGACTTAGATGTTAAACTTAGATGTGAAATCTGGAACACGACTAACATTCAGCTAGCTCCGAGCACTGAGTGCGTGGTTAAGATGAATTGCTGCGCATGTTTTTGGACCGGATGGTTACCAAAAAGACGGAAGCTACCGAGAGCACAGACATGAGTATGAAACAAGTCTTGGTATAGGAATCGAGCCAGTCCGGATGGACCAAGATGATGTACCATAAGTAAGCCGAGACAGACAAACCAGTCAGCAGGAAGAGGAAACCCGGCTTCTGCTGCATTGCCGTTCGTCGCATCCTCAGAATATTGGTGGTTGCCAGCGCCGAATGATAGCAACGACTGGGCCTCTGCTGGGACTCCACTCGCGCGGGCGCCCCCTCCCTTATGTGCAAAATAATCACTTGCCCCGGAGTAACTAAAAGGAAAACGTGAATTTGGCTGGGGTGGGCGGGAGTTCGAGTGGAAGAAATATGTTGGTGTCAGGGGAGACCAGTCGGGGTAACAGGTTGGAGTAGAGGTATTACATCTTGTTCGGTCAGAGGTTCTCCAGTTCTCATCTAATTGAATGATTCGACCTTGACATATCACTCTAACTACTATATCTAAAATATTGCTGCATTATGCTCAGGTACGTACGGCCGCATCATACCTCAGGTGTGTACTGTCGTGTCGGTCGGTTCCGTATTCGTGGGTTGTTACCTGAAGATCTTATGTTGGGAACTATCGGCTCCAAGGTCTCCGCCACATTTGCATCCAGGTCGACCTCGAGTTGGTGCTCTTCAATAGCTGTCCGGCGTGCTGTTGATATCCGTGTAAGATAGAATTTTAGTAGCATGTTAATTTATTTGTAAAAAGAGATGGACCGAAGGGCCGGGATGGACACAATCCTCCTAACTCACAGCAGCACTTGCTGCCCGGGGGACAGGAGGATGGTTGAGACCAACATCAGTGACTGGCGGGCGACACGAGTGCAGTTTAGTGGAATGGTCGAACAGGCATTTTCATTGTGGGTGGAGATATGGTGTCTCCGTAAGAGATCCAACCTCCCGGCAGGTCTATGAACACTGGCTGTACGGCGTGACTTATGCAGCGTACTTTGCAAGCCCAAACGTTGCCAGTCGGGATGTTGATATCAAGCAGATCTGGTAGCAATAGATTGCGTCCCTGAGGGTCCACTGACCGCTGAGACGGGATCTGAGCCGCGTCGGTCATTAGGAATTCGCGACAGGCCGCCAGCGCGCTTGAAATGCGTCGGAAAGACTCTTTCTCACCACTGTGACCTAAATAAAAAAATTCTGGTTCTCTCGCACACATGTGTGTCTCACTCTGAAGAGAAGCGGAAGTGGTCTTATATCGCGGCGGCTGGCTCCCCACCTCTTCTATCGAAAGCAATCCTCGTAGCGCCAGTCGTGACCTGCTCGAGCTCGTAATATTCTGTGTATATATGAAAAGCATGACGCGCAGGTCCGGCAGTAGCTCTTGCAAGGCGGGACATAACCGGCCTTCGCATACTACAACCTTACCGTCCACACTATGGGGTTTCACAGGCCCCTGCCGCACCGGACAGTCTTCCTCACCATGCTTGCACGCATCAGATAGGTCAATCACCTCCTCAGAATATATATGGCCATAAAGCTCGCTCGTGTTGTCACTGAACACGATGACATTCATTTTCAACGGCAAGATCGGCTTCAACAACCTCGGCAATGTCTCGTAGTCTTTAACATCCTCATTAAACCTGAAGAGACAAATCGTGTTGTATATCCCTCTACCCAACTCCCCCTCTACCCAACTCCCTCTACACAACTCCCTCTACACCCGTAGTGTATTACCTGGTGAATAGATGTCCTGGTTGTATGTAGACCTCGTCCCGGGTAGTTGGTCGATTCCAAAGTCGTCGACCGCATTCCGTGCAATTGGTTCGGTCTTGGGCGACTATACATTCGACAAAGTGTCTGCAAGAAACATCGCCGCTTGTAGCTGCATGCGCTTTGTTGTCTTGGGCTTGAGTTTGGTTTTGAATTCCGGGTGTATGCGCGTAGGTGAATCCTTGCAGGCTGCAGAAGAGTGTGCTGAGCATGGGACTATTGGAGATGGCAGCGGTATCCGTGGCAAGGACGAGATTGGCGAAAGAGAAGTCTCCGGTGCTTGGCGACCGGGCGGTGCTAGGTAGGATTACGGGTCCCCACCAGACGGCGTTCTCTTTGACCAGGCGGTGGGCGATGTAGTTACGTTTTTGCGTTATAGTCTTTCCTCCACCGGAGAGGTCGAGTAGCCGCGGTCCGACGGCGGCTGGGAGAACGGTTTCAGGAGGACCAGGACAGGTGAAGACCTTGAGCCTTCCGTAGACGTATTTGCAGAGGTTGTCTGGGTGGTGGAAGAGGCTGTCGGAGAGCGTGTTATCAAGTCGCATGATGAGTTGCGCGAGGGGCAGGAGGGTGGGATAGACGTTCACGCCGGAACCCAGAGTCTTGAGCGAGAAGGGACTGGCGACAAAGTGCAGGCCTAGCAGACAGAGGAAGCTAACGGCGTCTGACTGGTGCAACGAGGTGAGTGAGCCCTTAAGTTTGTTGAGCGAGACAGGACGGTCAACGAGCGTCATGGCAGCAGCCAGGTCGTTTACAGTCTGACTTTCACCCACAAGGAGTTTGAACAGACGGCTGAACAGCAAGTGGGTGGAAAGCGAGGGAACTTGTGACAACCTTAGTTCATTGAGTACCGTTTCCTTACACTTCACGGGTAGGACCTGGGCCATGTACTGTTGCAATTGTGCATCAGTTTTCAGCTGCCAGTTCCGCGCGACACAAGTGGGCACTGGCACAACTGGTGGCGTCAAAACACTGAGCCAGGCGAGTCGGTGTAGGTCCATAGGGGCGGAGACTGACCGGGTCTCGACAGAGTGCATTTGTTGTGCGTAGGGGTCGTCGGTTGCGGGTCGGGCGGTGGTCGCAATGCCGTTCAGACCCAGGTCTAGTTCGCACTGCAATCTTTGGGACAACGCAGTCTTGGCGGCTTGAAGCTCTTCAGTCAGCACGACGGGTGAGACGGCGCCGAGCAGCCAGGACCGGACGGCCCACTCCTCGGGGCCGACTTGGCACTCAGACAAGACGGCTTTGGAGAAGATAACGGCGCATCGCATACGTTCGATGAGTTGTTGAGCTCGTAGTTGCCATGGCGTGAACTCCGTGGGGGCGAGAGCAGGGCTGGCTTCATGTCTGAGACTGAATGCGCGTAGGGCGGGGTGGAAGGACGGTGGCAGCTGGCCCAACAGCGCAGCGCCGCTGAGACCTGATGGTTGGGTGGAGAGAAGGTGGTTGCCAAGCGCGATCAGTTTTTGACCCGTCACGGGCGTCAGGGCAAACACCAAACTGTTGGTGTCTGCCAAGTAGTGCGCGGGCGCCTCGCCATTTGAAAGGGCAAAGGGGTCACCACGACAGGGCGTCAGATTGCACACCAGTTCCCAGAAACAACGCAGGAAAGCGAGCGACAAGTCAGTATTCTGCACAAATGACGCAGCCGCGTTGAACAAGAAAGGAAACTCTTGTAACCTCTCTAATAACCACCGCACCCGTGGCGGTTCCGTCTCACCTAGATTGCACTTGGTTAGCAACACCGTCGTCGACAATAAAGATCTCCAAAGTGAACCCGACTTGGGCAGAAAGAGTGGGAGTAGCGACAGGCAATCACGCAATAACCCTTCCACGGCTGCCGTGAAGACTGGGCTACCACGTGCATGCCGTGCTAATGTGTGCTGTAATAACACTGCTGGTCGTGTCACCGTAAAGGCTCCCACACCTCCAAACAGGACGTCATGCCGTTCGATGACCGATAGTAGCAGCCAACACGCCCACAGTGTCCATCCCGTGAGAGCACGAGCACCTTGCAACCTGCCCCACTGACCACCTGAGAGTTCCAAGGCATTAAACGGAGCGGGCATACCCAGCAACTGGCCCAGCTCCAGTGCCGTGTTCGAACGCAGCACCTCAGGTGGGACCGCCAGTAACCGGTGCAAAGCCGAAAGTGGTAGCCCACGGCCGCAAGGCAGGCTGTTATTGTTATTGTCAAGCATGCCTAGTTGTTGACTGATTTGTGCCAGCACACGCGCAAAGTGTGCGTCTGACTCGTCAAGTGCACTCAACAACCCTTCCAACTCTCCCGTCTGTGACACCAGACTCTTCTGACGCTTCCGTAGACTCTGCAGCGGCGGAAAGACCGGACCCGCCTCCTCTAGTCCGAGCGCGCGCGTGCTCGATAAATGGCCAAGCCAGGTCCTATGATCACCGAGTGCAAACAAAAGGGCGTCCACCGAAAGTGTGTGTGCTGCCGGTTCCCTTAATACCCGCTGATCCGGTGGCAATCCCACCAACGCAGAGGCCAACAAACGTCGACAGTAGGCGTCAACTGCCTGTGTCTTGTGCACCAACGTCTTCACAGCCGCCTCATGCTGCGCCACAACCTGCGCAACCGCCTCGGAGAAAGACAAAAGCTCCCAATGACGCATAGCCAACTGCTCGAAGGCCGGGTGAGTAACTCCCGTCTCTAATGACAACTGCTCCGTAGCGCCTAAAAATCCCCGAACCGCCTCCAACGACAAATCATCCGCCGCTAGCTTCTGTAGAATTGGCTGTACCAACGGCTCGAATCGTGACCGCAATTGCTGGAAAGATACTAAGTCGAATACCACTAATCGCGCAGGCCGATTGCATACCAACTGATTCGCCAACGCTTCAGCTGACGTGCCCGCCGTCACGGAGGAGAACGAGTGCCGTGCTGCATTCAACAGATTAGTTGGGAATGATGTCTTGCTCAACTTATCCGCCGTCTCAAGAAACCGCACCGCCGATGCAAATGGTACCATCGTACCCGCCGGCACAGTACTCCGTAATCGCGCATATTGCACCACACAGTTCAGTAGCCGCGAAGGTAATTCGCACTGCACACGCGGAGGCACAACACCCTCCAAGGGCGCACACTCCGTCATACTCAATGCAAACACCGGATGTAACGCCCTGTAAAACACACCACCATCCGCCGTCGCGCAACGCAACACCACCGCCAACGGCTCCGCCATTAACAACGACCCAACCAAACGCGTATCCAATACACGGAACTTTCCGGGACAGCCCGGACCCGATAACCCTGGATTCGACGGTCCCGAGCTGGACGACAGACCATTCGACATACCGTTGGACGGCATACCCTTGGACGACGGCATTCCGTTTGACGACATACCGTTGGACGACAGGGGGGTGGACGACAACGGACTGGCTGACGGGAGGTTGGAGCTAGAATTTGATGACCCCAGGTAGGTCGCAGGGTAGTCTTCAAAGAGGCAGCTTTTCAGCCGGAACACGAATGGGTCGAGCTTGTGTGTTTCCGGACTGATGTCGACCAGTTTGTTCAAGACGGCGGTGATAAAGTTCTCGATTTCGCGCCACTCTTCTACCCCGGCGCCTTTGGCGCGTAGACCGAGGACGCGTGGGAGCAGCGTGACTTGCAGCTCGCAGTTGTCGTCCTCGGCGCCGGCTTCCTCAGAGTCCCAGGAACTGGAGTTCTCCTCGGTGTTCTCCGTGGTGACCTTGGAGAGGCCGGCAGGACTGTTCGAGTCAACGACGGTCCCGGGAGTAAAGCCCGGGCCGCCTCCTAAGGAGCCCGGGCCGCCTCCTAGGGAGCCTGCCCCGCCAGTAATTGAGCCTGGACCTCCGGTACCCGAGCCAGGATGGGCGGCAGAGCCAGGATTCGGGCCGGGGTTGTTGACTGAAGAGTTAGCCGCTGTGCTCGGGGTGAGTTCCAGGTTGGCTGGTTCCAGATCTGTAATGGACGCGAGGCACCAGGCCTGCAGGTCCTCGGGAAGGAGGTCCGGGTTCTTACAACTGAGCGCGATTAAAGCATTTCCCACTGCTTGCTGTAGGTTATTGGGCGAAAGTTCGCTCATGCCAAATTTCGCACAACGGCGCACCTCAATCGACACCACACCGAACACAAACCAATCCAGTGCCCCTGCCACCTCCGTCGTGTACGCACAACCCAATACTAAACGCTCAATCACAACCCGACACTCATCCGAATTCTGGACTAAATCTCTTATACGCGAAATGCAACTATCCATCTCTTCGCACACACCACTCATCGCCACCAAATCGTCTCGCTTGCGTAACATATTAGCCGTCCGCTTCAAAATGCTAGAGTGCTCTATAGCCAGCTCTACCGCAGCCCGAATCGACGGCGTCTCTTCATTCAGATTAGCACTCCCCTCTGCGACAAACTGCAGATTTGCTTCCAGTTCATCTTCAGTCGCCAACCTGTCTTGAACCGTCAACTGGTCTTGAGCTGTCAACTGGTCTTGAATTGTCAACGGGTCTTGAACTGTCAACTGGTCTTGAGCTGTCAACTGGTCTTGAACCGTCAACTGGTCTTGAACCGTCAACTGGTCTTGAGCTGTCAACTGGTCTTGAACCGTCAACTGGTCTTGAACCGTCAACTGGTCTTCAGCCAGCTGATCTGGAACAGCCAACTGATCTTGCACTAACTGATCTTGAACGAGGTGATCTTGGACCAACTGGTCGTGGACCAGCTGATCTTGAACCACCAGCTGATCTTGAGCTCCGGGATGGTGCTGAGCGTCGGACCACCTCCATCTTGGAAGAAGCGATCGCTTGATACTCATGAGGTGCTTGATGTAGTTATCGCAGAGTTGCTCGAATGCCTGGAGCTCTTCGTTGACTCCCTCCGATGAGGACCCCGAGGCGGCGATTTCCATGCCGCCATCTGAGGACCGACTGATCACAGCGGAGCCAGTAGTGAGCATTTTCAGCATCCAAACTTTCCAGTCGGATGCAGAGACGAAGCTGACCAGGTCGTCGAACCCGGAGGCTCCTAGTTCATTCTCGGTCCGGACCAAGTAGGATAGGAGCAGCGCACATAAATGTTTCGAGATAGAACCCGCCTCCTTCCTCTTGAGATGGACGGCCAGCTTGGCGTAGAGCCCCGACTCAGACTTGGCGTCGCAAATGTTCTGCACCAAGTCCATAATGAAGATCTGCCCAGGGAAGATGCCACTGATTTCGGTTATCTGCTTCCACGAATTCTCTTTCCATATGGAGGCCTGTTGAATGAACTGGTCCACCAAATTCTTCTCAATGCCACAACGTGAACTCATGTTCGGACTGACCAGGAGTCGACTGACATCCACAATGGTCCTGTGCAATATGTGATACTGCAAAGGCTTGTTGGTCTTCATCCACTGCTCAATCGCTTGCTCCTGTTCCGCGGTCCCGTCCACCACTGATTGCTCGTCAAGAGGATGCTCGTGAAATGAACGCTCATCAAATGAATAGTTTTGGGGACTAGCGGGCAGTAGTAGTTTCCGTACTTTATTAAGTCGCTCATCGCATTCCTGTAAATAAAGCCGAGCGGAAGCCTTCAAGTGGTCAATGTTGGCCGGTGGATAGTCCATGTCCTCCAGCTCCAGCAACAACCCTCGGAGCGGGCTCACCACTGTGACCCCAGTCGTCAAATAAGCGTTGGTCAGCTGGAGTGCGCTCAGACAGCGGCAGGCCCAAGTCTCTTTCTGGAATTGAACCACGGTTTCCTTCAAAATCTTTTCCAGCGATGATCGCTCCGCCGAGAACTGAGGCGCAGAAGAAAGCTTTTCGGCGCAACTTTTGAGCAACTCCAACAAATCCAACTTGTCCACAGCGTCCTCTCCACCGGCCTTGTCGCCGCCCCCATCGGGCCCCGCTGTTATCTCCGATTGGCCTGCACCAAATGTCAACGAAGCCACGAAAAAGGTTTCGAGTTCATCCGGTTCGATGTGAATTTTAGAACTCCAATTCTGGACCCTCACGCAGCCTTGGTCAGCGATGCCACTAAGTGAACCGTTCCCCGCTGATCTGCCACATCGACGAACAATGTGGTGCATTACATTCCTCCAGTACGAAACAGGCACGACACAACTCATCTCCATCAACTCTTCATTGTATGGCAGATTCGCTTCGGCAATTAGGCACAAGGTTGCGAAAAGAGCTGCCGTGGACTGCGGGTCGTCTTGGCAGTTCGTGTCTTTAATTTTCTTTAGCACACCTTGGACAAGACTCAACGTTTTCGACGGCACAGAGGAGTTATTGAAGTTGATACCGGACAGGAGCTCCGGCGCCTGTCTAACCACCTCGTTGAGTCCAAGCTTTGCACAGGAAACCATGAACTGACGCCAGGGGATCTGCCATTCCAGAACTGCCGAAAATATTTTGTCGGTAGGTCCAATCAACGGTTTGAAGACAGGGAGGTACTTGAGAATAACCTCATTGTCCTCTTCGTGATTGCAAGGACCCTTGTTGGCGGACAAAACGCGAAAGAGCCGTAAGCACTGGTCGACCCAATCGCCTTCATCACTCTTATCTTGAAGCACGTCGCCAAGAACATCGCCTAACGTATCACCGATATATAACGCTCCGTCATCATTAAGGCCCAGTGTGGCGCTGAGCAAATCGAATTCCAGGTCTACATTTTCGCAAGCAGATTTTATGACCGAGATCCAAGCCTGACCAAATTTCTGAACAACAGAACAAACCAGACACAAAAACGTCTTCCTGTCTTTGTAGTACTGAATAGGAAGGGACCCATACTGTTCCAACAGAGTTATCGGACGGCTAACGACGCGAATGACACACAAGTAACATGGCTTGGATATTCGACGCGCCGAACCCACAGGAATCTGGTATATCGGAACCGGGCTCTCCGCTGGTGATCCTTCGTACCCGGGACCTTCATATGCCCCGACGGCCATTGAGCCGGGACTGTCTTGAGGTCCGCCGTAACTCGTAACGTCGTCGAAGCCCCCCGTGCCGTCGTAGTCGCCAACCGCGTCGAAACCCCCACTCGCATCGAAACCTGAGCCGTAGCCGCCGTCAACACTGCCATAGCTATATCCTCCGTTGTCCACGGGAGCGCCATAGATGTCTGCCGCCAGCGACGAAGGGCCGAGGGATGAAGTGGGTTGACCGTAGATGTTCGCCGCCATGGTCAGACTAGAGTTGATACCGAGATCGGGGACGTAGCCTGAAGGGTCTGCCTTGACTGGCTCCAGCTTCGTTGGAACTGCGTACAGCTCTCCACAGTTGACCGGGCCAGCGTTTTTGGGTAAACCGGCGAGCGCTAACCCCGGTTTGCGGTCGTGTTCCTGCTTAACCGAACCCTCGTTTCCGAACCCCCCTCCAAGCCCTTCTGCTCCAAGCCCTGCTCCTTCAAGCCCTTCTGCTCCAAGCCCTGCTCCTCCAAGTTCCGCTCCTCCCAGTTCGGGGTCGCTACCAGCGACCGCGTTAGCGAGGGCCGCGGCAGGAGCGTATTCTTGCCAATAGGCTTCGTTGGGGAGTATGTGTTGGATGAACTGGTCGACGGCGGTCTGCCAGCGGTCGGCTTCTTCGACAGCACGATCTAGTTCGAGCATTTCGGGTAAGGCTACTTGGAGGTTCTGAGCGGCATTGCGTAGACGTAGTGCGTCCTCATGTGTGATGCTTTCCGCAACGGTTTTGGGTGCTTTTCCCCTGCGCTTGATTTCGGAGGTTTCGCCCCTAGCCTCGAGGTATCGCTTGCGCCAGTCGACGGCTGCCAGTAGCGCGGTCGGCCACTGCGCGAGCTCCGCGGAAGTAAAACGTTTAACGTAATCCTTCACCTCGGCAGGAACGGGCGGTGGCGGGCCACCGCCGGCGGCCGGCAGGCCGCCGGCCGGGAGCAGTCGGTCGGGAAGCATGTTAGTCACGAACCACGAAAGTGTGTGTATATTGGATCCACAGCTCCGGCCCAGGGCTTCCATGGCCTCGCCGGCGGTGCGGAGCGTCTTGAGTGTGTCCTCTGCGTCTTCCTCAGCCTCGTTGGTCAGCAACTCTTGTGCTTGCGCCGTGCAGCTGCGCACGACGTCCACGTCCACCTCCGGCGCCGTTTTCAGCCCACGGATTTGCTCTTTCAACGCCGCCATGTTCTCAAAAACGCTGAACACCCACCCCAGCGGGGGCGCCGCCTCCTGACCCGCCTCTTTCGCCGGGAACACCAACGCAGCTGGCAACAAGTCTGCCGGCACGGGAGCGCGCGCGTGCGCTGCCGTCCCGTAAAAGGCCGCCAGCGACTGGAAGAACGGGAACGGCACCAACAACTCGCCACTGAAGACACCCATTCGGCCCTTGGTCGTTTCCGTCATCAATGATACCAACGCCACCAACTGTGCCATCACCACACGCACCTGTGCACGACCCGTCAACGATACCGTCTGAATCACGTTCCGCGAGCAGTCGTGCATCATCGCCAGCACAGCACGCAACTCTTTAGCACTCAAAGCGCGTAGCACCTCACGTGGCCCGCTATTCGCGCCCGTCGGCACGGGGCCCCCCGCGCCTGTTTGGCCCAGGGCACCCGTTGAGACCGGGGCACCGAACTCGCCACCGCCTAGAGCCGGCTGGGCATTGGCTTCCACTCCTCCGAGTGCGCTGTCTCCCCCCGGGGCGGTGGCCTGCGCCTTGATGAGCAGCCGTTCGGAGACGACCTTGATGAGCAGTTCAACGTTGCCGATGTTCTTGACCATGCAGATCTCGGCGGAGCCGACGAGCGCGAGCAGGACGTGGACGGGCAGCGGTGCGAGCACGGCCGCGATCTTCTCGAAGGTCTCATCAGACCGGAAGCCCTGATCCAGTTGCACGATACCGGGGCAGGGCTTGCCCAACGCGAGCAGTCCGCGGATCCATTGCGCTCCGCTCAGCCGAGCCACGCAAACTTCGGGAGTCGCGTAACCCAACTCCGTGCTGCTCAATCCCAACGCCGGAGACACCACCACGGCCTGGCGCGTCATGTGCTCCACCACAGCCACGGCCGCTGCGGGCGTCTCCTCCGCCTGGAACAGTTGCAATATCCGGATGAATGTCTCGGCCGCCTTGTTCACGATCTCTTGTGCCTTCTGGTACAAACTCGCGTCCGCCTGTCCATAAAGCGGGAAGTGCACGCACATGCTCACCAACAACGTCCCACTGAAGATGCTGTTGCTCGGCAACAGTCCCTTCGCCTTCAGCAAATCCACTTTACTCACTGCCGACGCGGCGGCCGCCGCGGCCGCTGCTGCCGCCGGCTCCTTTTTGCGCCGCTTCGCGTTCGCGTCCAGCGGTGTGCCAAGCCGCGACTTGCGGCTCGCCCCGGACGGCCGCTTAGTCTGCGAGACGTCGCTGGCGCCGGCTTCCTCCTCACCCTTGGTCGTGGTGGTTTTCTTCTTCATCAGCAACTTGCGTTTGACGGGCGCTCCCACATTGACGTTTGCGGCGGAGACTTTGGGCAGCGAGGTGGGCAGCCAGTCCTTAAGAGGCACGACGGCGCCGTCTTTGAAGAGCGTGGAGGAGACCTTGGCGAGATCCTCGGCGGCGCCGACGGGGCTGTTGCTGACGCACCACTGAGCGAGTTTTTCGCGTCCTGCAACTTTGAGCAGAATGAGGGCGCGCACACTCACGGGGATTGGGTGCACCCAGCGGTTCGCGGTGGCCTCCTTGCCGAACACGACTCCGGCGGCGGCGGAGATGAAGGAGTCGAGGTGAAGTTCGGGTTTGTGCGATTCGTTCGGCAACAACAGCTTGTACATAGAGACGCCAAAGGGGTCACGCGAGAGACGGAAGCGGGCAAGCATAGAGCGTTTCGGCTCTGTCAGCTCGGCCGGGCCAGGAACGGCGAGTTGCAACTCGGATGCCGCGGGCGGCGGTAACAGCGACGGCCGCTGCCAGTCCCCCTCGACATCCTCAAAGGCCCAGCGGAATGGCACGCACTCCGCGCACGTCGGTAACGGACCCGGCTGAGTGCACTGCGTGTGTGCGGCTCGACCGCACACAGTGCAACTCGTCCAGGTCAGGTCCATCTGCGTACCGCCGGCACACACCACACACGTCACACCACTTGCACCACCAAAGGAGTGGTCCAGACAGCGACACTTGCCGAAACGCACCGCTCCGCCCACCACGTACACTCCCGCCGTAAACGCCTCCATGTACTGTCGCGGGTCATGCTGCACAAACGCACGCAAACAGTTCGCGTGCCCGAACCGCGGACACGCACTCTCGCACCGCTGCAGACCCCAACCAACTGCCGCACCCACCTCTGGCCCGCTGCACACACAACACGCCGCACCCTCGCCCAACCGTTGGTACTCACCCAACAACCCACCACAATCCACCGCGATCTCCAGCCTCTTCCAGTCGCCTATACTCACCACGCGAGGCGGCGCCGTCACCGCGCAAAACACATGTACGAACCCAACGTGCGGACCACTCGTGCTCTGAGCGTACGACACCGCCTGACTCATTTGACTCTGAGTCATTATCTGACCAATCCCCAAATTCATCGGCCCACCGCCCATGCCTTGGCCCATCGCCGCCGCTAGCCCCATCCCCAGGCCCGGACCCAGTGACTGGCCCATGCCTTGACCCATGGACTGGCCCATGGGCTGACCCATCGGTTGGCCCAGGGCCTGACCCATCGGCTGGCCCATGCCTTGACTCATGGACTGGCAAATGCCTTGGCCCATCGGCTGGCCCATGCCTTGACCCATGGACTGACCCATCGGCTGGCCCATGCCTTGACCCATGGACTGACCCATCGGCTGGCCCATGCCTTGACCCATGGACTGGCCCAGGGTCTGACCCATGCCTTGACCCATGGACTGACCCATGCCTTGACCCATGCCTTGACCCATGCCTTGACCCGTGCCTTGACCCATGCCTTGACCCATGCCTTGACCCATGCCTTGACCCATGGACTGACCCATGGACTGACCCATGGACTGACCCATGGACTGACCCATCGGCTGGCCCATCGGCTGGCCCATGCCTGGGCCCATGGACTGACCCATTCCTTGACCCATGCCGGGCGGCAGTCCCATGTTGCCGTAGCCTTGGTTGTAGCGAGGGACAGGCTGGGGCGGGGTTCCGTTGACGATCCTGCATAGCTTGGAGGGCCCTTCGTGGTGGCCGCAAATTATACACTTGCCTTGATAAGGTAGTTCAGTCCGGGGGTGTCGTCGTTGAGTCAAAATGGCAGCGGCTAAGCACACATCACACAAAAAGTCAACTCCACCACTACTCACGCCGGTCTGGTCCGCGCCCGGCGGTAGCGGAGGCAGAGGTATGGGTTTCCGCCCAGTGGTCGAGCCTGTCGCGACGGCGCTCTCGGGGAGGACGCAGCCCACGACACCATAGCAGGAACCATGGACTTTGATTCGGCAGCCGATGCAGGAATGCATCTGGCCGGCTCGTCTTCCCAAAGTAAACAGCTGTTCCGGCGTGGCGTTGGTTAAGTCCGGTTGTTTCTCACAGGAGTTGCAAATGTCGCAAGCCCGAACGTCCACCATCTTGAACTTGTTCAGCATCGCTTGAACCGCTGCCTCATCGGGCACAGTCTCGTAAAAGGCAGTGCCCGCAGGCAGGTCCAGCAAACTTCGCTCCTCGGCACTGTATATCTCGTAGGGAACCAGCACCCTCGCCGGCGCTGGCGGCGGCTGCGCTGCCGCGTACTGTGTATAGTAGGAGAACTGATGGATCCGTCGCGGGTCATAATATACCATCATACTTGGGGGACCACCTGCGGACGGGCCCATCATGCCCATCTGGCGCTGGTCATACATCACCAACGAAAATATTTACCCCAAAAATCCCTCCTACCTCACGATCTCACCAGCAAACCAGAATAACACGCCGCTCACCACCAGCCCTGGCTAGCCTTCGCTACCCCGCACGGCCAAAGTCCAACACAAGAAAAATCAAGGCAAAAGTTGCGTGTGCGCGCCAAACACGCGCGCGCGCGCACACTTTATATATCTGCTCCATCGCAGGGACCATCCTACTTGGCGAACCTTCGCAAGAACTTTCGCGCTTTCAGGGAGAACTGAGCCTGCTTCGCGGTCGACGACGGGCACGTTGCCGCCTCTTGGCTTGTCGTTTGTCGCCAAGAATCATATACAGGATGAGCAGGGGAAGAGCTCCTGCTGCCACCTGGGCAGCTAGAAGCATTGCAGGCTGCCACGCGTTCCAAGGATCTCGCGCGTTTCTTGGTGGATGAAACTGAGATAGCAGCTGTCCAGCGAAACTTCCTAGGACTACGTAGAATCCTTTAGGGCCCGTCCTATCTGTCCGAACTATGCGGATGCTCTTATTCGGATATTTGGCATACTCCGGTGCTGTTTCCAACGGAAATGGCTTGTTGATGATCCAGTGTTCTGTAACTACATCTCCCTCTGTGGGGGAGAAATGCAGATTACCAAACCAGGCTTTGGCGAGAAGGCCGCGAGCCATGCAATTTATGAGTGAGAATTTATTTGCCCACCGGCTATACGGTAGGCCGTCAATGTCGGCTGGTAGCCCGTACCCTATCGTCTCCACTGTTTGCGAGCATCCCGAATTCACTTCTCAGTCTGTTCGATCCATGCACCTTGGGACTTGATGGGTCCTGTTGCTCGACAGAATGGAATATCCTTATCCGCTGATGCCTGTCCCCGGAAATTAATAGTTGATTACACCAAGTACAATGGTAGGGCCCTCTCAACGAAGACAAATGCACCTCAGATCCCTCGCTGGCCGCCACAACCACTGATGGAGGTTCCAGCCAGGAGTCATTGCTGTACCCCCCGATTCCACGGGCCATCCATAGAATCGTGATGGGGCTTGAAATACCGCTGCCGAATGGAATACCATTGAACAGACGTCAAAAGTCTATTCTAGAAGAATACGATAAACTCAAGGAGATCGGGGTAAGTGCCGACGCGCTCATTATGGTGACTACTGGGCTTGACAATGAACTTGTGATGGTGAACCGCTTGTGATGGTGAACCGCTTGTGATGGTGAACCGCTTGTGATGGTGAACCGCTTGTGTTCTACTTATTTCCGCATGTTACCTCGTTCTGTCTGCATTCTTGCTTCTGCTTTGTCGACCTCGGTCGGACAGGTGCGGGAGGGAGGTCGGTGGGTTTGTGTTGAGTGTTGTTTGTGTGAGGCTCCGTGTTGGTGTGGGGCTCTGCTCTGTTGGCTTGGAGATGAGCCCGGTTGGCACTGGGCCCAGGTGCCGGTGAGTCGTTGGCCCAGCAGGTGATCAGGCCAGCAGGTGTCACGACTTGGCAGGCCAACAAACAGTCTCTCGATATTTGTGAGGTTCGAGCATAAGCGTGACATATGTGTGTGCAGACGGAGTGTGTGTCATGGTGTTGTCTCATTAAACAAGTGTCATTACTTTGTTTTGTAGTCCGGCACGTACGCGAAGGTGTTTCAATTGCGGCATAAGAAGACGGGGATTGTGACAGCGGGTAAAGTGTTACGGCCGGAGCATTTTCCTAGTAACACTGAGAACCGTGTGGTGATGATGTTTGTGAATGAGATCCAGTTGTTGGCGAAGTCTCAGTGTCCTGGTACGGTGAAGTTGTTCAACGTGGAATGGAGTCATGATGGGATATTGCTGAACCTGGAGTACGTGGATGGCGGTACAGTATGGAAGGAGCAAGTGTGTCCGACACCGTTGTTGCGATGGACGCATTTGGTGCAGCTCGTGCAGGGTGTGCAGCACTTGCACTCGCAAGGTGTAGTGCATCGCGACCTGAAGCCCACAAATATCTTGCGGACGACAAACGGTTTGTTGCGCATAGCTGATTTTGGATGGGCGGAGACGATTAATAAGCTCAAATCATCTAATGGCGAGTGGCCGGGTACACTGGAGATTAATCCTCCAGAGGTCCTAACATTTTCGGGACCGCTAACGGAACGTATTGACAACTACGCGGTGGGCATGAACTTCTTGCTCTTTATCAGCAATCGGTTTGTGTGCCGTCAGAAGAGCGTAGAAGTCAATGCTGCCGCCAACGTGATCCTTAAAATGGTCAGTAGTCTTCGCACGGCTAAGAAGACACCACCCAACTTCACTGTCGAGACCTGGGAACTCTTCCTAGGACTCACACACCCTGATCCCGTACAGCGATGGAGCCTGTTACAGGTATGCCATCACCCTTGGATCGTCAGGAACTATCTACAATTTGTCAGCGACCGAGCAGCCTCACACACGCTCGACTGCGTACTCTGGCATGAACCCACCAGAAAAATATTCCAGTCATATAGAGTCGTACCCCCTCTCCCCAGCCACACTCCCCCCTCACTACTACATCGCGTTTTCCCCCGCGCCTTCGCAGACCACCACCACCACAGACATCGCGATAAAGACGAACAACAAACATAGACCACGTGTCCTCGCACACGTACCTCCCTTCCCCAACCACAGCCACATCCGCACACACCTTCACACAACGACTCACACACTTTCGCCAGAACAGCACAACTCCGCCAGAAACCAAACCGAACTAAGCTAGAAACCACATAACCAATACAGCCAAATTCAGTTCATACATGACTTGTGTGTGACACATATGTGAATCTTCCTTGTTACAAGTACGCATGACCTGTATGGAAAAATTAAGGGGCATTGTTGTTCACGCAAGAAACCATTTTTCGAGTGCCGTGAGTTCGCTTTTATTGTACTTGGTGACCTTGGCCTGCCATTTTCCACCTTTCCCGCCCCCCTTGACGTTTGCGACGAGTTCTTCGACCTTGGCTGCCACGACTTGTGCTTCTGAGCCAGCAACATATATGGATGCGTTTTCTTTCTCACCATTGAGAAGCAGGAAGGTGAATTCGGAGTCGGTGGGTATTTTGAGCCCCTTGGTGATAGCTGTAAAGTAGTCGACATTGTTGTCCGTCTTTCGAATGCATCGTCTCTTTTGTGTGCCGATCGCTGCATGAATAATTTCTAAGTCTCGTTGAGCAAGCTCCTGCATAAGAGACTTGATGGTGCTATTGGCCTTCTTAACAGCGAGGGTGAGATTCTGAACCTTTTCACCCACTTCTGACACCCGGCAGCCAAGCGTCTTATTCATCTCCCGCAGATCGAAGTCATATTTTGTCAACAGTCTAGTTACTCGATTACCCGCCGTGAAATGCAGTCTAGAGTTCCCGCCTTTTCCTGGAGTCTGATACAACAAAACAATCGATCCAATCTGACTAATATTGTCTAGATGCGTTCCACAACACAGATTCTCGTCGATACCATCGATGCAAACCAACCTCAGAGTGCCCGTCTCGGTATCATAGTCATCCGGTACACGGGAGGTATCCATGTCTTTGGGGTCAACCACACGCACATGTACTCCACAACCCCTCTGAATTATGTCATTTACAACACTCTGAATTGCAGCGACCTTTTTGGGCGGTATCGCCTTCGTCACCTCAATATAATTAACCGCTTCCTCACAAGGCGCCATATTCCAACTTAACGTTGGCAATACCTTCCGGTCCAGTATCGCCGACAACAAATGCTGGCCCGTGTGCTGCTGCATATGGTCGTAACGACGTTCCCAGTCGACCGTGATTCGCACACGTGCGTTTATCGGCAATGCCTCGTCGATTTCGTGTAACGCCTCTAAACCACGACGCACAACGTTCTCAACTCTGAAAACGCGGCCAGGAACCGGACCCGCGCTCGACACCCCCATGCTCGACTCCCCCGACTTAAGGATCTCCACCGTCCCGTGGTCGCACGGCTGCCCACCTCCAACAGGAAATAAAACGGTGTCCTGAAATCGGACAAAGTACTTGCCCCCGTCATTGGCCTCGCACGCCACCACGCACGTTTCCATGCTCTTAAGGAAAGAGTCCTTCTGGCAGGCCAACTCGCCTACCTTGGCCTCACTAACTTTGGCCTCATTAATTTCGGACTCTCCGGTTTGGGCGACCTCCTTCCTTGCACCCGTGTCGACTTCACAGCCGGCGTCATCATTGTCGCAACTCATCGAAACGCTGGTGACTGAGGCCACGATCTCGTTCTCTTTGAGTAGTTTCACGTCCGCAACCTCAGGAGCGGTTGTTACATCGTTTACTTCTGGCATGTGTTGAAAAAGGGAGAGGGAATTCCCGGTTGGTAAGCCCAGACAGGAATTTCGGGCTCCCGAGGAATTTCTACGAAGAATTTTGTGATGAAGAGAGGCCTGCCGTCGCCTGCTGAAGTCAAGCGGCCAAAATTTCAGGGGAAGCGGGATAACGTTGATGGGTTTCTGACGTATGTCAAGAGTGTGAAAACTATGCTTGAGGAAAATGCAGCTGATGGATTTGATGCGATTATGATTCAGGCATTGGCAAGGCAGATGGTGAGGCAGCTGGATCTTGAGACGTTTCTCAATCTTTCTTGCGAACAAGTGTGCAGTAGGAATATAGAGTTCCTTCTTAAATGTAGTTGCGACGAGCTTGTTAAAGTTTTCCACGACATACGAGATGAAGGAAAGAATAATGGCGCGGGAGACGTCGCGGGAGACGGCGGAGAAGAAGACGAGTTGGCGCTGAAGAAGACTTCGTTATTGAAGGTCTGGAAAGTATTTATTTCTTATCTACTCAACAATCAATGTGTGGAACTATCTAAGAACCAGTATGGTTCTCATACAGTAGAATGTTTATTGGTTTGTCTCAAGAAGATATTGGCTAGTTGTAATGATGAGGAGACGCTGAATCATTTTGACAAGGTCATGCTAACGCTGCTGAAGGAATCTTTTACTTTTCAAGACCGATTGTTCTGGATAATTCTGTTTGATGTCAGGGCGACATTCGGCCTCCGGAAGCTGGCAGATACTGTTGGGGCTTTCAAGTCCTGCAATGAGAGCGTTAAGTATTATATTCGTTTCTGCGATAATGTGTTCGATACCGATATCGAACGAATATTGGATGACGCCTATATGGATAGCAAAGCAGGACCGACGATACAGCAGATGCTGCTCGCATATATAAATCTTTTATCAAGCAGCAATAAGCAAGTAGCTCGAGTTAAGGCAAGGTTATTAAAGAAATCGAGTCATGGTAAAATTGATGGCGAATGGCTAAGAAATTTGATCTTGAAATCTTCGGTTGGTAATAGAATGATTGAATGGCTGGTCAGTAATAAGATGCTGCTTGATGAAGACGTTAAGGAAATATACAATGACTTTGTAATTTCTAATTTGAATGAGATGGTTCAGAGCAATGGAAAATATGTTCTAAAGGCATTGCTATTGAGCTACCCGCCCAATAACAAGCAACTGATTAAAAATATTATCGTGACAGTTAATATGGACAATTCGATGTTATCACAGGTGTCTGTCGTCCGCTCATGTATACAGATCAGCAGCGAGCACAAAACTATAAGTCAAACGCTCATCCAGAGAATGCAACAATCTATTAATCATATAACCAATCGTCGTATTGACTGGGCGGAACGATCCAAACTGATAACTGATGCGCTCGAAGGGCAGACGAAGAAAAAAGATGAGATGGACAGTAAGACTAAAAGAGGTAGTAAAACCAAAAGAGATAGTAAGACGAAGGAGGGGAGTGATAGATGCATGCCGACATTATCTGACGAGGACAATTTTTGGTATTTGCTATGCACATTGAAGGATGATCATTTGAAGAATGATCATTTGAAGAATGATCATTTGAAGGATGATCATTTGAAGAATGATCATTTCAAATCATTTAATGGTTTAACGATCGCATGTGAGATGGTTAAATATTACAAACCCAAGGTAGTTGGACCCTCCTTGATGTATGAATTGGAATTAATCTTAAGTAATGACCAGAATATACAGTATCTAGCTACCAGTAAAAAAGGAGCGGAGCTTTTGCAATTAATCCTACAGCATTATCCAGACAAGCTCAAATCGTTGGTCAGAGATCATGTCATGAACAGTTTAGACACTTACTGCTTCAATGCTTACTCAAGCTACCTCGTGAAGGACGTCTACCAGCAACTTGGTTCCAAAAAATTACAGCACAAGTTCATCACAAACATCAAGCCACATGAGAACCAAATTCGACTAAGGAACTTTGCCCTTCATCAAACGCTCAATCTTGACAAGATTCTACATCACTCGTCCACTGAGCGGTTTGGCTCATGATAACATCCAGGGCAGGCGAAACAGTCAACAATTTTTTTCCCAGCAATTGCTGCTACACGACTTGCTGCTACACGACTTGCTGCCATCCGACTTGCTGCCATACGACTGCTGCTATATGACTTGCTGCTGACCGTGTTGACCGGGAGGTTTGCTACGACGAGACTTTCTTGTTGCTGCAATGCCGGGAACCCGTGCTGCCGGGAACCCGTGCTGCCGGGAACCCGCGCTGCCGGGAAGTAGTTGAGAGTAGCAGAGTCATTGTCATTCGCCGTAGTCACTATCGGCCAAGCCTTCGCCAGCGAACTGGGTGAGGACTGGTTCGAAGCCGTCCAGATCGAATTCGTGGTCTACTGGGTCGATGCTGCCGCGTATTAAATCTCGCAACTGCAACAACGAAGTTATAGGGGACGGGGAATTAGGTAGGGGAACGGGAATTAGGTAGGGGGTGTGTAGTACCATTGTGAGACGTATGACGGGTATGTCCTTGTGGCTGAAGTGGAACGGGTATCTGTTGAAGGCTAGCTCCCGCATAAAGATGCAGCTGAAGACTCCGCAGTCTGAGCCGTTATTCTGTAGGGGGATTTTGCACACGCAGACGTCGTTGAAGGTCCCGTCTGTCGGTTCCAGAGGACAGAGAGCAGAAAGCGTATAATTGTTGCCGGCAAACAGAAACTCCGCTGCATTGAACGAACTTGGCGACTTCATATCTGAGAAGCCTTCGGACTGAAGGTCGGACCACCCATCGGACCTTTCTGTTGCCATAGTAGCTCGTAAATCCACCGGCCTTAGTCGCAGTTCTTCCGGCCGCAGTTCTTCCGGCCGTGGCTCTACAAGTCCTGGTGCTACCAGTCCTGATTCCGCAGGTCGTGGTTCCACTGCTCGCGGTGGTGGTTCCACTGTTGGCCGTGGTTCCATTCTTTTCTTATCGTTCCACTCATCGCTTAAATATCGTCGAATGGTGGAGACATAGCTAGAAGGTGGTGGCTGGCCCAAGGGATCGAAGTAGAGAATCAATCTGGTTCTGAAGTCAACCACGCCTAAACACCAATGCACATGATTCACATGTAATGGTAACAACATTAGGTCCAAACCGAAAATGTCGATCTTTTTCCGCTTCGTCCATCTGCGCACTTTATTGTAGTCGTAGTTATCCTCCGACATCCCTCCGGCAGTCCCTCGGAGAGTCGTATAGAAGAATGTGTTCCAACAGAAACATTTTAAACCGGTGTCGGTATCATTAATCATAGCCACATACGCATTGATCACCTCATCATTTAACCACTCCATCGGCTGCAGACAGTGCAGGTCCAGCGCACTTAACTCCCCAATCCGCAAATTCTGGCTGCGAAACACAGACTGCATTTTGTCATAGTCCCGAGGATGGAACATTGACTCGTCTCCAGGACGCCAAGGCTTCGGTCTGGGGACATCCTCCTAAAAAACCGACTGCCACGTGTGCAACAGTGACATAGTACGTACAATTTTGGGTGTCAACTTCACTCTGAACACCAGCTGGTCGTGCTCACATGCCAACAACGGTTCTGGCTCCTCTCCTTCTTCCAAGGGTTCGATGCTCTCCGTTCGCGCCGCTGTTTCTCTCGAATTAATATACTGCCGATATGTTGCAACGTCCCTCTTTATATCATCAAACCTGGCATTCCCTTTTATTGTATCACCATTCACCCTTACAAACGCATGACGCCACCAATCCATATTTTTCAAAGCAAAAAATCACTCTTGGAAGTACTCCAAGTCAACCGGTTTAATCTTGGAGGGATTATCCAAACTCAAAATATCACCTCTAAGAAAATAGCACACGTGTGTGCAAGTCGGTTTTGCGCGCTGTGCAGGGTCACCAGAACAGATAATGGAATGGGAGCGAATCAGAACAGAGCGAAGCAGCGCATGAGCGAACCAGCCAACACCGCCAATTCGCGACCCGACAATTCGTGGAGGGGAATGGTGAATGGGGGGGGGAGAATTTAACTTACTGTTTAATATCTTTTGATGCTACAAATTGCAGGCACTGCCTCTTCCTCCGCGCGGAAGACCAGTCAATCCAGGGCTTGTCCGATTTTGTTCGCGGACTGTCTTTGAAAGAATCGTCGTCGTTCAAAAGGAGTTTGAGGAGTGATTGAAGTTTAAGATCCATTGCTATGTTAGGGATAGGTTTCTTCTTGTTGGCTTCATCGTGTTGGCTGTCCGCCTCGTCGTGTTGGCTGATGGCCCGGTTGATTAAGCGGATGATATCTTCGTTTTTGCGGATGGTTCGCGCGATCTTAGAAGACGATTTTTTACTTGGCGCTTCGTATTCAAGTGGGTCGGCGGCCATCAGCCAGTCTTGTTCATGATGGGTTAGAGTGAAGTCAAAGAAGACTTGTATCCGGGTGTCTAGAACGCGCTGGTTTTCTCGTTTGATGTCCCTCCACGCGGTTCCAACTTTGAGAGACTCCGCCTTTTCGATAAGGACTTTGTCTAAGTCTTCTTCCTTGGGATTAATTTTTTCTAGCTCCGAATCAAAGTCGTATTCGACCATGCCAGGGATGACTCCATAATATTTGTAGCACTCGATCCGCAGAGCTGCAGAGTATGCTAGAAGAAGAGTAGCTTCCACGTCAGCATAAATGACATCTCCTCGTTTGAAGTCTCGCGGAGCTTTGACGGGAGCGACTTTTTTTTCCGTGACGGTTTCTCGACTGATGCAGCCCTTGATTTTTTCCCGCAGTTCGGCTAGTCCGGCCTCGTACTGGTCGAGGAGCTGAATAAACTCCTGGACTTCTTCGTATGAGAACTGCTCGGCCGGAGCGGTAGCCGCTCCGCCACCCTGTCGCCTGGATGAGCGTAGAGTAGTAGATCGTAGAGTGGTGGACCTGAGTGAGGTGGACCGTGTTGAGTTGTCAGTTTTGGGTAGACAAAGTTTCTTCATCTTTTTCCACACTTCCGGCACGCAGGCCCTGAGTACGACTTCGGGTGACTTGTCTAGACCAAGTAGAGCGAGTTGTGTGGAAAGTGTGGGACAGAAGGTGGCGAAGTCAAGCGAGTTGCCGCCGAGCAGCGGGGTCACGGCTCGTGTGCTGATCACCAGTTGCCGCAGCACCTTGACCATACAGTGTGCTACGAGGTCGAGAGGCAGGAAGCAGTGGTGCTCATGTTCGTTCCGGATATTCATTAGGACCTCTAGACCAAAAGGGACCCCTGCACCAAACGGCTGGGTCCGACTCTTGGGGGGTGCCAAAAAGGCCTCTCGTTCAGTTCCTGCCGGCATACTAGTTAAACTAGGAGCTAAAATGCGCCAAGGCAACACTCCTTGGGCGTGCGCCAAACATACCAATTCACCTACATACCGCGTTGGAGCAGCCACCGGAACCGACATCCAGACCTGTGCCACCGTCCTAACACTCCGCTGCGCCCACCTACGACTATTCTCCCAGCTTTGTAATGTATACAACTCGTCAAATGCCGCTTCCCATTCTGCACCCACCCGCGAACGCCGCTCAACCTCCCGCCGTTGCGAAGTCTTCCGCAACCGCTTCGCCTCACGCCGAGACCCCTCTTCTGCACTCCTCTTTCGCACCCCCCGTCGCAACCGACTCTTCCCGCGTGACCGCGGCTCCGAACTCGACTCGGATCCCTCCTTCGCCGCGACTTTCGACCCACGCTCCTCTTCCGTACTCGACGCACGCTTCGTACTCTCCGACACCTCCTCTTTCGAACCCACCTCCTTCGACTCCGCCTCAGCCTCCGCCTCCTTCAGTGCCGCCTCAGCGTCCGCCTCCTTCACCTCCGCCTCTTTCAGCTCCGCCTCAACCTCCGCCTCCTTCAATTCCTTCTCCTTCAATTCCTTCTCCTTCAACTGGGTCTCCTTGGACGCAGCGTCCTTGGAAATTTCTCCCTTGGAAACTTCATCCTTGGAGCCTTCTTCCTTGGCAGCCGCGGCCGTGGCACCTTCGTCCTTGGAAGCGTCGTCCGACCCCTCCTTTGTCTCCGACCCCTCCTTCGACCCCTCCTTCAACCTCTCCTTCGACCCCCTCTTCGGCCCCTTCTTCGGCCGCTTCTTCGATCCCGCCTTGGTCTCAGGACCCGCACTCTCTGACGAGCCACTCTGCTCCGACGACTTCCTCTTAACACCGGTGTCGATCTCTTCTTGTACATGTCCCTTAGTCCCGTCCTGCGTCGTGATCCCGGCCTCCTTCAGGACGCCTCCTTCCGGGTCCGGACCGGGCCGCTCAGACCCGCCAGCCTCCTGCTTGTCCACTTTCGTCTCGGCATCGACTTTTTCTCCGCGGGAGCTGATTTGGGCTTCGACTTTGTCCACGGCGTCGGCTGCCTCCTCAGGGTCTTCCTTGCCGGAGGTCGCATCGGCAGGTCCAGTCACCTGCTTTCCTCGCCTCTCCGATCCAGTCTCCTCGTTCTCAGCATCGCCTTCCTGTTCAGCATCGTCTTCTTTAATTCCCTCTTCGATTCGACTGGGCATCTGCTCATCTTTTCCTGCAAGGTCTTGGTTTCTGAACCTTGCCGGGGTGTCGATCGGCGCCTCCGAGACTGGCGTGGAGTCAGCTGCAGCCTCCGATGCGGCGTCGTGGCTTTGGTCGTCATCGCGCACTGGCTTCGCAGCATCCACGCCACCCACCGGTTCCACATCCATCGCAACGTCGTCGCGAGTTGGCGGCTCCTCGGGCGGCACTGGAGAGTCTTGTTCGCCCGAGGCGTTCTCTATCGCATCCTTGCTTGTTAGTGACACGGACATGAACTGTGCCGACACGAGTTGTGTACGAACTTTATTTTTTGGCGAGGCCAGAATTTCAACAGGACTAATTCCGGAGTCATCTTGTAGCAGGATAGCTGGCTCCACCCGCTCGGCCTCTCGCGGCACCTGGTCGACTTCCCGAACATGTATACCCTCGTTCCGGGAAAGGTTTCTATGCTCGACTGCAGGTTCAGCCTGCAATAGCGAGGCTGGCTCCATCGCTTGTGTTGGCTCCATCGCTTGTGTTGGGTCCACTACTCGCGTTGGCTCCACCCCTTCACTTGCCTCCACAACTTGCGTTGGCTCCACCTCTAGAGTCACCTCAACGACCTGCGCCGCGTCCACAACTTCCGTTGCTTGGCACGTTTCGACCTCTTGTGTTGGTTCTATCACCTGCGTTGGTTCTATCACCTGCGTTGGTTCTACCACCTGCGTTGGTTCTACCACTTGCGTCGGCTCAAGTGGCTCGTTCGGCGGGTGCAAGGTCGCAACCTGGTCTGCTTTGTCGTCTCCTGACCCCCCTCCACCGGGTCCTTCCTCTGGCGCGAGGTTGCTCGTCGGCCCAGTCATCGAACTAACTTTATTAATTCTCGGGTCCTGAATTTCCACCGTGTCGTGCGCAATAGCCACCGTGCCTTGCGTCTGGCTCCAGGGGGGCTCTTCCATTTCGGTGTCCTTCTGCGGGCCGAGCAACTGACCGGTCACCATCTCCGCAGGCGGGTTGTTCGATGGTCTGGTCTGAACCGGTCTCGGGTCCGAGGTAGCTCCGGTGGCAGTGCCATCGGTCTTTGCGAAATGGGTCTCGGCGGCATCGGTTAATGGGTCCACTGCCTCCCCTCTGCCTTCCCTCTGCCCCGTGGCGGCGCTCGTCTCGACGGCCATCAAGCTGTTTATATTTGATTCGGTCGCTAGCGGGAGGGCGCCCTGAGCGGGGAGGACGCTCTGAGCAGAGAGGGCGCTCCGAACGGGCAGGAGTGGGCCTTGAACCGGGGAGGCGGGGGTGGCGAGGAGGTCTTCGACGGGGAGCGGCGGCGCCTGTAGGAAGGCGGCCACATCTTTTCCCCGCCCAGGGGCCTGGACGTGGAAGCTGAAAGTCTGCTCCTGGGGTTGCGGAATGACTCGAGGCGTGGCCTTAACGGGCCGGATGTCCACGGAGAGGTCTTCGTCCATGTGGTCGACCTCGATGTCACGCGGATCCAGCGCGATAGTTTCCGGCTTCACCCGCGAGATGGGCATCCCGTAGATTGAGGAGGACGGATTCATCTACATGTACGATAAGTTAGATGCCCACCATTAGCATCATCATTAGTCATCACCCTTAGAGGGGGGGTGTGAGCAAATCAAAAGGAGGGGGGGTGTGCACACACGTGCGCCTTGCTTACGTTGTATGAGGCCCCATCACGCATTTTAAAAACCGTGATCTATCCAATTAAGGAAAACGCCTTCGGGCTTATGCGCAGCCTTGACACGCACGATCTCAAGTCCCGAGCAGGTGTACGTTTCGTTCACTGGCTCTTCGGCGCCCACCTCTTTTTTCGAGCGACTAAATCCACCGCTGCCGCAACGCCGCAACCCATTCTTCAAATAAACTGCTGTCCCGTGCTTCTGACTCCGCCGCAATTTGCCCTTCGCATTCGACGTACGGCTTGCCGTCATCCAGAAACTTAGCCCCTCTGTCCCTGCCGCCGAAGACGTCGCCGGTGTCGCCGCCTTCGGCAACGGCAGCGGAGGCACCCACAACATACCGCGGTACCGCGAAGAGTTCGTGATGTGCTCGTTCTCCAGACGCAACAACATCCACTACCGCAACGTTGGGTTTGCTGTGCAACGTTTGCTGTGCAACATGTGCTGTGCAACATGTGCTGTGCAACGTGTGCTGTGCAACGTGTGCTGTGCAACGTGTGCTGTGCAACGTGTGCAGTGTGTTCGGGTTCGACCGGGGGGGGGGGTGCTTACGATGCATCTGCGAGCGATTTCGAGGACGCTGACGCCGAGTGTGAGGAGTGCGGCAGTTTGGGGGAGGTGGCTGATGGTGTCGATGGGCACGAGTGTTACAGCCCAAGTGAGACGTGCCACGAGGTTGTAGGTACCGGCGGCATGGTAGAGCCAGAGTGGGTACATAGAGCTGTCGTGGGGACGGACGAGGTTTTCGGAGTCTGGAATGAGTCCCCAGTCAAAGACGAAGTCCCAGTAAAGTGAGTATTGGGAGGCAATGAGGTAGAGGAAAACGAATCCGAGAGTGCGTATGTAGCTGGACATGTACGGAACGCTGCTGTACGGTGACTCAACGCTGGTGAACAAAATCACCGTGATGCTGGCCATGTACTTGCCCAGATTCCCAACGTGCCGCCAACGTTGCGATCGGTCTGTATTCACAATCCGGTTCACACATTGCAAACAACGAACCACAAACGGAAACATCGTAATCAATGTCGTCGCCGGTCGGTCAACCGAACAGTGTGTCTCTTGGCCGTGCCACAACCCAGAACTGTAGTAACATACCATGTACTCCATGTCCGCAAAAGGCTTCACCATTGACGTCATGATATCACCGACCATGTTGTTTAACAAAGTAACGTTGCGGTTCAAGAACCTACGAAATCCCGTCTGGAGTACGCAATCCCGGTAGGGTAATCCCGGTAGGGTAATCCCGGTAGGCTACCCCAGATGAATGAACCCTAGATGGGTCTAAGTGTAACCCCGGGGGTGGAAGGGATAGCTTACGCTCCGACTATGGTACTAGTAATAGTTTGGAACATTCCTTTGCGAAGTTCTGCATCGCTAAAGTAGTAGAAGAAGAAGGACATGGCAATGACCAGAGACAGGGGGTAGATGCCATACCAGCCTTCTTTCACAAAAAGACCATATCGGTAGTCGACGAAGAACATGGCAAAGTTAACGCACCAAATTACTGATGCTTCGGCAGCTACTCCAAGCACCGTCGTCGATCGAATGTCAGAAGCCGGATTGAAGTCCAAAAGGAACTTGTAATTCACACCATACAACTCGAATACGAACAGATTCACACCAAAGCCCCAGTTTAACAGGACAACTGCCAGACACATACGGTAAACCGGCATCGTATTGATAAATGCTTGCGTCGAATAACTTGGATTAGATGGCTTGATAAACATCAGAACAACCACATCGACGATTAGCACGAAGCATATACCACATAGAAACCATACTAGCCCCGTACGTCCACCGGAATGAGATCGAAATGCAGTATGCCTTAAAACAGCGGCCTTCAGGCTATTTACATCTAAAGCATACAAAATAATTGAATTTCGGTCAAACTCCACCCGCAGCATAAACACGCGAGACAAATGCGTTGCAATGAGCCCATCTTACCAAGATGTTCTGAGTTTTTATCCGTACTACACCGTGACCACAATTGCATCATCGTTTCCTGAAAACGCGGTCGTGGTCTAGTGGCTATGACGTCTGCTTCACACGCAGAAGATCGCGAGTTCGATCCTCGCCGACCGTATTTTACAGGTGGTGTGGTAATCGCTTACGTCATTTCGTGGTGATTTCTTGAGCAGACTGAGGCGGGCACTTATGACTGCGTAATCCTGTTGCTTCCTGTCTAGTCGCCATAGCTTGTCTCTCTTTTTTAGGATCTTCCAGGTGGCCAATTTGTTCAAATTCACGTAACTATCCAATTTGTCGAAACACTCCCAAAGTCCGACAAGAGCCCGCCGTAATCGGACTCGGTGGCCAGTTGCGACGTCTAAAGTCTAGTAAATGGTACTGGCTATAATCATGCTACATACCTTTGAGCCAAGTTCAAGTTCTTCATCGATTAAGTCGAGTTCATGACATATACCGTCGATTCTATCTTCTAAAAAACTGGACCGACCAGGTCGTAAATTGCCAGTGAGACAGACGTACGATGTTTCCGAGTGATAGTGATCCTCTATTTTCTTGATTTCCTTATCAATTTCTGAGTTGAATGCATTCCAGGCTTCCGTAAGCAGTTCCTCTTCATTATAAGTACTTTCATGTAAAGGTACCAATAAGGTTTCATAATCATATGTCGTGCTTTTCATTGTCGTCTTGTGGCAATTTGATTTGACGTCTACTCGATGTTTCCACGACCAAAGTAAGTTTTTAAGATTCGCGTAACTAAGGACCTCGGGCAATAAGTCACCCAACACTCACTTTATGTATTTATCATTCCATTCCGGTAAAGAGTACTCCTTTAGTTTCGTTCCGAACTTCATAAAAACAAGAAAATGGTTAGGAGAGAATCAGTGTCAAAAGAAGCCTTTAAATCACCTGGCTTTTGGACCGGCAATCAATCGTCGGAGGGCAGTCTTCGGTTTTAGAACCTGGTGTATGGCCGACTCTCCAGCACATAAGGTGACCTTGTCGGCCATCTGGGGAAGGCCTCGGGACAAAGCAATAAAAGGTAGACCAGCCGCCCTCACACAGTAACCCTCATGCTTCAGAACCAGTGGAAGATCATGTGGCGAAGAGTGGCCAAGATGACAAGGAGAACCGCATCATGGGCGGGCAAGTCAACTCTGCAAAACAATCGGCAAACGTATCGGCAAACGTACCGGCAAACGTGCCGGCAAAACAGCACGCAGATGAAAACAAGACCGAATGTGAGGGGACCGGATGTGAGGGGACCGGATATGAGGGGACCGGATATGAGGGGACCGAATATGAGGGGACCGAATATGAGGGGACCGAAGGAGATGCCGGTATCGAAGGAGGTCAGGAGACCGAAGGAGGTGACGGAACCGATGGGCACAGGACGGACGGTCACGACCGGAAGGGCCATGACCGGAAAGGTCACGACCGTAGGACCCGAGGCTACGAGGAGGAGGAGGAGTCGCAATTGACATTGCGTCGGTTCATGGTACCGAAGGCGGTGGTGGAGGGATCGCGGCGTGTGTTGCAACGGAAACGGTCGATTCTACCACACGATTTATCCGAGCGTTGGAGCACGTCTCGGTCGGCTCCTAGTCTGGCCAAGAGCGAGTCGGAGTCGGAGTTCGTGACCCCGGTGCCCATGAAACGTCGTGCAACCATCGGGTTGGGCGAATGGTCTACTCCCGTTGTCACTCCGGAGCCCTCAACCCTAGGACGCAAACGCGCATTCAGGGATCTGAGTACTTTTCAAGATCTTAGCACCCTCCAGGACCATGTCAAACGCTGGCGCCTTGCTTCCCGAAAATAGTTAGCTACTCGCTTGTCCCTGGCAGGTGCACGTCCAGGTACAGGCGTACAACCCTCGTCCCTTAGTTAGTTAGTTAGCTGCACAAATTAGTTATGCCGCCAGATTAGCGACGGATGTAGCCGCCAGCGTCCCTTATAGCCGGACATTAATGAACTCTTGGTGACATCAGCGACACCCCGCCGACATCACAAAGTGTTGGCCGACGGGCGCGTGACCTAACGGTTGATCAGAGCCGAAGCTCCTGCCTGACCAGCCCTGAACAGCTGTAAGCTTGCGATTTGAGGACTTCGCGAATTCCAGCCGAAATAGAGTGGACCCAGGCACAACGGTGTGACCCAGTCGTACCCCACATCCAATTCAAGGTCATTCTCTGTGTCCGGCATTTGCATGGGATGTCCCATGAGTCCATCTTCCCATCAATGTCCATGGCGGCATTACCTCTAAACGTGTAGTACAAAAACTTCTTGGCCAAATTAGTCCATATCATACATAGTTCAGTCCGTATCTAGTTCAGTCCGTATCTAGTTCAGTCCGTATCTAGTTCAGTCCGTATCTAGTTCAGTCCGTATCTAGTTCAGTCCGTGTCCAAGCTTGTGATCTCAATGCATGATGGTAATCCAACCCACCTGTGCGAACACACTTGGTGTGCGAACACACTTGGTGTGCGAACACGCTTGGTGTGCGAACACACTTGGTGTGCGAACACACCTGGTGTGCGAACACACCTGGTGTGCGAACACACTCAAGGTCCGTGTGAGCTTAGATGGTAGCTTGGACCTTGTAGGATTGGGTTTGTGAGATGTGTCGGGCGGCCCAGGGGTACACGTGCTCGACGTTAATCTCGTGCAGACCCGGGTTCATGACCTCGAATTCGAACCACTGTATGCCGGTGGCGCCACTGCCTCCACGTGGCGTGACGTAGCCTGTGGCCCGGAGTCTCCAGTGAGGAGAGGCGGTTAGAGTCCGTTCGTGTTGAAAGAGCGAGACGCGATTGTAGCCTTTGAGCCGCCACCTGGAGACCGACGACAGTGAACAACGCAGGTTCACTCTACACCAGTCCTTTACCCGCATGTTACACACCCCCTCTTGAGACAATGTGTGAACCTCGACCATTTGACAAAAAGGATAAAACTATAAAGTGCGGATAAAGTCCACACGTCCTTTTCTTGTCCACACATACTTGTCACCTGTTGGACCACTCCTTCGGAGTGGCTCCCCCTTCGGAGTGGCTCCCCCTTCGGAGTGGCTCCCCCTTCGGAGTGGCTCCCCCTTCGGAGTGGCTCCCCCTTCGGAGTGGCTCCCCTGTTAGGTGTTTTTCCATGTACTATGATCCATGGTGGTGACATCGTCCAGCTTCGCCACTCGAAGTAGATATTGTGTTAATTTCAACAGCTCAGTGTCTGTATCATAGTTAGCCTTTCTATAAGGCGAGACTAATATTCCATTTTTCGGATTAAGTCCAAAGTTCTTATGTAGATCATCGATGTGTAAAGTGTTCTTTTCGGAATATAGCTCAGGACATGAATCCCAAATTAAACGCAAGCACTTCACGTTACGTCGAACCACTTCCACTATCTCCCCCGCTGCTGGTTCAACTGCTTGGTCGTTGGAAGATTTCCCGACAGAAAACATGTTGGACCTGTCCAGTATAAACAGCGGATAACTTTGACATGACTCATAAATACCTATCAAGGAACATTTAGTCTCGATCCACTGCCAAGCTGTTTGAGACCAAAGACAATAGTCGTAGTACTCCTTCAATGACGAGAACATCGTTGAAAGATGCGGTCGTATTCGACAGCTATCATGCACTACAAATAGATTTAAGTGTGTCCGACAAACAAACACGTGTCCGACAAACAAACACGTGTCCGACAAACAAACACGTGTGTGTGTCTGCGACAAACAAACACGTGTGTGTGTCTTTACGAGATTCTTTGAGCATGTTGGTGCAATCATAAATTGTGTGATCGATGTCCAGGACCAACAATTTCTTGCCCGGCTGGGGAGTTCGCATCCATTGTAACCGAAGTCTCTTAAGTCGGGAATTAAAAACCTTCATAACATTGGAACTTCGCCAATAGTCAGCCGCCCGCTCTTGACAGGCCTTGCTGTTGTAGCCGTAGCAACTTCTGTGATCGTGGTTATCACATTGGAGTTGTTCCTCAGACGGTGTCCCAAGCACGATGAATGCGTCGCCCGTCATGACGCATTCAGACAGCAAAGTGTCATCTTCAATTTGCTTGCCACTTGATGGCACACCATTTTTGGAGCGCAAGCCTAGTAATTTCTATCGAATAAGGCTGTCACTTTTCCCCACCCCAAGGCTGTCACCC